AGATGTCTTTTATCCTGTCTCACCCATCTCCCCCCCTTTCACTCGGTAACAATAGTCTTTTATTGATCTAAATACAATTTTGTTAATATAGTTACAATTTAATTAGCACGAATCACATTTATCACAATATTAATTTCGTGTTGGTGGAAAGGGATTATTGGAACCCTGTAGAGGAGATGATACTCACTCCAGGGTGTCCTCTTAAAAACCATCTCTCAAACTGAGACACCCTACAAGAGCTTAGAACATGGAATGAGCTCCACCCAGAGCTCCCACTTGATGCGGCACCAGGAGATCCAAACTAGGAAATATCCCTGCTGGTGCTTGGAAGGCGGGAAGAGCTTCAGCAAGAATCCCCACAGCATCAAGGACCACAAGATTCACTCTGGGGAGAGGCCCTACGTGTGTGGGGAGTGTGGGAAGAGCTACTCACAGAGCTCTCACTTGACCCGACACCAACGGAGGCTCCACTAAGGGAAGCCCTGTGAGTGCCCCGAGTGTGGGAAGAGCTTCGTGCTCTGCTCCAGCTCCATCCCCCATGGGAGGATTGGTGTTGGATGATCCCTAGTGACCCCCGTTGGGCAGAGCCCTGGTGATCCGCGGTCTTGGTGATCTCCGTTGGGTGGCGGGAAGGGGTTGGAGAGATTTCTTTCCCTTCTGCTTGTGCTGCTGTGATTTGGTTGGTAATAAATTCCGTCGCTGTGCCCAGGCTGGCTCTGTTTTCCCGTGCCGGTGCTCGGGGCGGGATCTCTCCTGTTCCTTCTCTCAACTCCCGGGCCTCTCCTCAGCCAATCAGAGAATGCGATGAAGAAGATCCACCCAATCAGAGAGAGCAGCTGTGATGACTCACCGGTTGCCGGGCAGANCCCCCCAAAATCAGCGCGGGGACGGAGCGGGGGGTCCCGGCCGCACCCGAGGCCATGGGGAGGGGCTGCAGCAGCTGCTGGGTCAGGAGCTCTGTGGGCAGAGAAAAGGGGGTAGCACCGGACTGGGGGCCCCATGGGGAGCGCACACGCTCCGGGGTCGGAACACGACCCCCGGGACCCTCCCCTCACCCTTCTTGCACAGGTCGAAGTCGAGCCCCAGCTCCAGGAAGACGAAACCCAACACGGAGCCCCCGATCCCCATCAGCACCTTGCTGCGGGCGGTGTCCGGCGGCATCTGTGGGGATCCACAGGCGTCAAGACCTCCCAAAATCTCTCACAGACACCCCAAGCTACTCCAATCACCCTCCCAGTCACCTCTAGTCCACCCAGGACTCCTTGAATCCTCCTCCCAATCTCTTCCCAGCCTCCCCACACCCACCAACGCTCCTTCCTCTCAGGATCCCATAACCCCCTCCCAGTTGCCCCCCACCAGCCCAGGACCCCCAAACCCTCTCCCAGTCCCTACCCGGTGTCATCAGGACTCACCAGGACTCCTCCCAGTCTCTTCCCATCACAGCTAACCTTATTCCAACCCTTCCTTTCCAGCTCCACATCTTTCTCCATTCCCTCCAGGCTCACTCAAATCCCTCCCTGTTCTCCCCAGGTGACCCCAGTGTGTCCCCACTCTCTCCCAGTGCCCATCCCAGTGTGTCCATCTCACTGTGGCCCTCGAGCTCCCAGCCCGGCCCCGGCTGCCTACTCTGCTCCGTGATGGATTTCTACCCTGCTGAGATCCAGGTGAGGTGGTTCCAGGGCCAGCAGGAGCTCTCGGGGCATGTGGTGGCCACCAGGACCAGGTCCACAGCAGGAGAGGGCTGGTGTGGCACTTGAGAGGGACTGGGAATGGGAGAGAGTGGGGGAACACTGGGAGAGAGTGGATTGGATTGGATTGGATTGGATTGGATTGGATTGGATTGGGGCAATGGGAGAGAGGTTGGAGGTTTGGGATTGGACTGAAAAGGACTTGGAAAGGACTGGGAGGAACTGGGGGGGTCATTGGGGGAAAAGGGAGAGATTTGGAAGGGCACTGGGAGAGCTGATGGACGTTTAAGAGTGGAGTTAGAAGGACTGGGAGTGGAATGGGAATGGAATGGCTGTGGACTGAGAGGAATTGGGAGGGACTCCAGTGGCACTCGGAATGACCGTGAGGACACTGGGAGAGACTGGGATGGACTGGGAGAGCAACTGGAGTCACTTGGGTTGAGGGGGCAGGAGGCCCCGGGGATGGGCACAAAAAGGGCTGACGTGTCTCAGGTGATTCCCCAGGGAGGTTTTGAGGGGCTCCAG